CTAGAGTCTTTGACACATCCTCCTTAGTGGGTCCAATCAGCATAATGTCATCAATATAATGAACCAGTGTGACATTTTGTGGAATAGATAAGTGATCAAGATCCCTTCGGACTAAATTATGGCACAGGGCAGAAGAGTTGATGTACCCCTGGGGGAGAGTTGTGAAAGTATATTGTTGCCCCTGCTAGGTGAAGGCAAACTGCTTCTGGTGGCCCTTCGAGACTGGTATTGAGAAGAGGCATTAGCCAGATCAATAGCTGCATACCAAGTACCAGGAGAAGTATTAATTTGCTCAAGCAATGAAATCACATCTGGAACGGCAGCTGCAATTGGAGTCACCACCTGGTTAAGTTTAAGATAATCCACTGTCATTCTCCAGGATCCATCTGTCTTCTTTATATGCCAAATAGGCGAGTTAAATGGGGATGTGGTAGGAATCACCACCCCTGCATCTTTCAAGTCTTTAATGGTGGCACTAATCTCTGCAATCCCTCCTGGAATGTGGTATTGCTTTTGGTTTACTATTTTCCTAGGCAATGGCAGTTCTAATGGTGTCCACTTGGTCTTTCCTACCATGATAGCCCTTATTCCACATTTCAGGGCTCCAGTATGGGGGTTCTGCCAGTTACTAAGTATGTCTATTCCAATGATGCATTCTGGAACTGGGGAAATAACCACGGGTGGGTCCGGGGGCCCACTGGACCCACAGTGAGGTGTACCTGAGCTAAAACTCCATTGATAACTTGACCTCCATAAGCCCCCACTCTGACTGGTGGGCCTTCGAAACACTTTGGGTCTCCTGGAACTAGTGTCAGTTCCAAGCCATTGTCTAGTAATCCCCGAAAAGTTTGATTATTTCCTTTCCCCCAATGAACAGTTATTCTTGTGAAAGGCCACACAATAAACTATCTCAGCCCCTAATAAAATAATTGAAAGGAAAAAAAAAAAAAGAAGAACTCAAAGCACCAAAACCTTTCTTTTGGCTTACCTGGAATGCCACCATAATTTCAAAATACTGATGAATGGAAATCTGTTGTTTTATTTTAGTTTGCTTATTAGTATTTGTTTCCATGTCTTTTTGTTTCTTTTCCTCTCTTTTAGTTCTTTAGTGGTAAAAGGAATCTTAGTAGTAGTAATAATAATGTTCTTCAATAGCCATTTCATACCCTAAATTTCTGTGACATATTTGATAATCATTTGTACCATTTCATGTGTTTATTTTTTATTTAGATATTAATTGATTTGAGTCCTTGATCTTTTCTTCTTTGTTCTTGTTTTGCAATAGTTTTTTATACTTTGACTTTATTTGATGTTAGGCTTTTTCTTGTTTTGTAAGGAGGAAAATAACAAGGGAACATCAAAGGGTTCTTTCATTTATAGTTGTCCTCAAATTTTTGGAGATCCTTCATAATTCTTAAAACAAATGAGTAGCTATTTATGGTTTTTTTTAAGTTCCTTTTTAAAAATGTACAAGCTTCTGGTTTCATAATGATTATATCGCAGTGTCATAATTTATTATTCTTTTGGTTTCTTAAATTATGTGTACCTTGAAGAACTGTAAACCTCCTAGTTCTAGAAAACTAGCCTGGAAAAGTATAATATGAAGCTGTATAAAGTAGGTACTCTATTCCACTTATAGCATATTACTCCAAAATTCAGAAGTTTAAAATTAATAATTTTATAAGCGCACAAATAATAATTGGTCAAGAATTGCACCATCGTGTGGCCTGAGTTGCTTTGCACCAAGGTTCCTTTATTTTATTGGGAGCTTGTACAACTCATCACAATCCATACATACATCCATTGTGTCAAGCACCTTTGTACATTTGTTGCCATCATCATTCTCAGAATATTTGCTTTCAACTTGAGCCCTTAATATTAGCTCCTCATTTTTCCTCCTCCCTCCCTGCTACCCCTTCCTTCGTGAACCCTTGATAATTTATAAATTATTATTATTTTGTCATGTCTTACACTGTCTGACGTCTCCCTTCACCCACTTTTCTGTTGTCCATCCCCCAGGGAGGAGGTTATATGTCCATCCTTGTAATCGGTTCCCATTTTCCACCCCACTCTCCCTCCACCCTCCTGGTATCACCACTTTCAGCACTGGAAAGAACTAGGAGGCAAGGGGTATTTACAGAGGCCTTTATTTCTTTTGAAAGCAAAATGGGTGAAAGGATATAGGGGAAGGTGATTAGAAGAGGAGGTTTTAGATATCCTTTGAACTGCATCTTATCCCCAGTATATACTCCATTGAAAACCAGCAAATCACAAGGGATGTCATTAGATACATTGTCGATCTGGTCCATGACTAAAACTCAAGGACATGTACATTGGTAAACGTTGCATGATAAGCATAGTTTCATGGTAACAGATCTAGCCTTGGAAGGATTAGGGGCAAATAGAATGTTTCACTTCAAGTGTATTTGACTACTATCTTATTAATTGTGAGAAACAAAGAGAGAAACCTGGCAGTAATTGATGCTCATTTGGATGAGGTGTAGGATTGAGTTAAGATAGGACAAAGACTAGCTGGTACTTGCCATGTATAATACGTTCATTTGGATAAATATTACAAAGAATTGTCAGTTGGTATAAGAGTACCCATTTCTGTGGGTTATAGAAAATACGTTACAGTAGGTATCAATAGTGAATTGACCCTTAGTTGAATTCCTTAGTTATATCCTGAAATTTTAATGACTGCCAAAAGAGAATTGTCAAATCTAGAAGTAATGTTTTGCTTTTACATTACAGCTACTTATCTATAGATGAATTTTTACTTTGAGAAACATACTTCATTGGCAAGAAAAAAAGATGTGGTCTAAACTTTGTAACTTCAGTACTTCTGCCTTATCTGGAAACATTTTTTCTGCCTCCATTCTTTATGACATAGGGTTAATTGAATAGCATATATTATTTTCTTTGCAGAAAACCTTTACTAATAAGCACTTGCTACGTGCTAGGAATCAACATGGGTACAAATCGTATTTCTCTACTTTTGAGGGTTTAGAGTCTCTGTAGAAGGTTACAGCCATATAAACTTACAGGTAGCATAGTATGAAAAAAGGTGGTGGGAGTTTACACTGGGTGCACAAAAGAGATTGATCAGTTATGTTGGAGAGAACTGTGGGAATATGAAATCTGGAAAAGAAGACAACTGATTTGGGAGTCATGGGATAAAGGGCATAGTTGACATTAGAGGCTATACAGACAAAATTAAACCCACCACAGTGCATGGATTCTAAAGAAAGTAACATCGGGATAACAGTATGGTTTCTTAAGAGAAAGTTATAAAATAGGTGTCAAAAAAAATATGAGGTGTCTTGAATAAAACTAATGAATTACTGTCGAGAAGAAATACTGCACACACACAAAAAAAGAGAAATTCTGCAATTTAGAATTCCATGGGTAGAAATAATTTTGTTACACGTTTAACAGTGGGAGCAATGTGCTAAGTAAGATGTCAGTGATTTTGGTTGTGGGAAGTGATGAGGCCATGGTTTGTGGTTTTTTTAAAATTGGTTATCCATAGGGATATTCAAAATCATTTATGATAAAATGCGACTTTCAATTAAGAGGAAAAGTGAACCAAACTCAAAATCTTTTGTCTAAAATGTTGAAAGTGAAAAATGCTATGACATTGGTGGATGACAAGAACTTAAAAATGAAAAAGGATTTTTATTGAAGGAGTGAAGTAATGGTTTAGAAGCCTCAGAAATAAACTGGGAGAATTCAGACTCCAACTCTGTAAACTCAGTAGGATGTGGAGTTTCTCTGAAAGGTAGCATTCACTTTAATGGGATGCAGGAAACACTGAATTCTCAGGTAAGGGCCAGGTATCCTGTCGAAAGAAGGAAGTAGAAGGTAACTGTATGAAGAGTTTGAGAATGAAGAGTTTCAGTTAAGGCAAGTTCACAAGACCTTGTCTTCTGCGGGAGAAACCCGATTATAAGGGGAAATAACTGGAGGGTCTTGAATTTATGATCAGAGGCCTAAACTGATAGGATTAGGTTGTGGTCACATTGATTGAGGCTTTAAACTTGAATTGGGGTTTCCCATTAGTTTCAGAGACTTGATTAATCTGTTGTCAAACCTCTCTTTGGATATTCCCTTTGTGCTTATCAAGGTTTACATAGTAACCCTGTAATAAATGGTTATCAAGTTCAGGTTCATTGGTTCTCAAACTGTCTTCCTGTAACAAAAACAGTTTTTTCTTTCATTAAAAGATCCCATAAACTTAAAATCCATCTTTGAGCTGTTTCCATATGCAAACAACTCAAATGAATTCTAACGTGTATGTGCAAGTTCTTCAAAGTATTAAGTTACAGTTATTTGTGGGAAGACATGAAATGTAACATTTAAACTTCTCAGAAATCAGTTTGCCATTATCATCTTTATTTAGCTAATTTTGACTCTCTCTCTCATGATATTACCCCATAATTTCCAAGTTTAGACCCAGTCTTTTAAGTAAGGGTGATTTTATTCATGAACAAATTGTTTTATGGCTATTTTCTCTAAATCTTTGGACTCACATTTCACAATTTCTATATAGATATTCATTTATATTATATTTTTCACATTGTGCCAACTTTCTCATTAGTTCTGTTTTGTTTTTTAATACTGTGGTTTTCCTACCCCCTTTCTTCCTCATCTTTCTTTTAGAGTAAATGTTGACCTTTTAGTCACAGATGGTTTTTTAGTAGCTCACCATACTCACGTTTTATATTTTCTTTTTTGCATGTAAGTTTATAGTTTCCTTATACATTTTGTATTACAGTTTTCAGTTAAAAGAAGAAAATCCTAAAAGGAAACTTAAAAGACAATTCAACACGCAAAACATAAAATTACATTTCACGTGAATTCCATATAACAGTTTCAAAATAAAAATTGTCATTTAAAACATTCATCAAAGCCAGCTGACCTAAATCTTCTCAAAAGATAATAGTAGAAAGGAATATCTACTATTTTCTTGTCTTTATTGACTTAAAATTTTCTTTCAGTCTCGCAGTGTGGATAAGCAGCATGCTGTAATCAATTATGATGACTCTACAGATGAACACTTGGTGAAAGATTTGGGCAGTCTGAATGGGGTAAGTCATTTGCATAATATTGTAAGAAGATAAAAGGGTATTACTTCCCTCACTGACCCATGGCCCTGTGGGCGACAACACAAGAGACACAGTGTGGGAATTGTGCCCGATCTGATCCCCCCACACCGAGGCAAAGCACTGGGAGAGTGCAGCAGAACAGCAAGGGAATAGAGCAGCAAGGTCCCCATGGAATGCTGAAGGCAGACTTTGGGGCCAGGGCGTGGTGCCCCAACAGACTGGACTGGAAAACACTCCTAAAGGCCAATGATCCTTGAACTAACTACAAGCTTTTCTTTCTTGTTGTGTTTTAATCTGTTCTTTGTCAGTGGTTTGTTGTTGCTGTTTTGTTGTGTACATTGTTGCTTGGTTTTGCTCTGTCATGTTTTTGTGCATGTTATCATCTCTGCAGGTCTGTCTAAATAAGATAGGCTGGATGAACAATCTGGAGGAGAAAACAACGGGACTGACAGTTCTGGGGGGAAATGGGAGAGGGGGAGGTGGGGGAAAGGAAGTGGTGTTAACAAACCCAGGGACAAGGGAACAACAAGTGATCCAAATTGGTGGTGAGGTGGGTGTTGGAGGCCTGGTAGGGCATGATCAAGGGTAATGTAACAAAGAGAAATTGCGACTGAGCATGATAGTGGGACAGGAGGAAAATCAAGGGAAATAGAGGAAAGAGCTGGGAGGCAAAGGGCATTTATAGAGGTCTAGATAAAGACATGTACATATGCAAATATATTTATATATAAGGACGGGGAAATAGATCTATATACATATAGTTATAGGTTTAAAAAATCATTTTATTGGAGAGTCTTATAGCTCTTAAACACAATCCATACATCCATCCATTGTGTCAGGCACATCTGTACATATGTTGCCATCATCATATTCAAATCATATTCTTTCTACTTGAGCCTTTTGTATTAGCTCATTTTTTTCTCTTTCATGAATCCTTGATAATTTATAAATTATTTTTTTTCATGCCTTACACTGACCACTATCTCTCTTCACTCCCTTTTCTGTTGTTTGTCCCCCTGGGAGGGGGTTATATGTTGATCATTGTGATTGGTTTCCCCCTTCTTTCTCTACCTTACCCTTATCCTCCTGGTATCGCTTCTCTCATTATTGGTCCTGAGGGGTTTATCTGTCTTGGATTCCCTGCCTTGTGAGCTTTTATCTTTACCAGTGTGTATGCTCTGGTTTCCAGATTTGTAAGGTAGGATTGGGGTCATGATAGTGGGGGGAAGAAAGTATTAAAGACCTAGAGGAAAAATGTATGTTTCACTGGTGCTATACTGCACCCTGACTGGCTCGTCTCTTCCTTGTGACACTTCTGTGAGGGGATTGTCCAGTTGTCTACAGATTTGCTTTGGGTTTCCACTCTTTACTCCCCCTCACTCACAGTGATAAAATCTTTTGTTCTGGGTCTTTGATGCCTGATCCCATCGACACCACATGATCACACAGTCTGCTGTGCTTCTTCCATGTGGGCTTTGTTGCTTCTCAGCTAGATAGCTGCTTATTTATCTTCAAGCCTTTAAGACCCCAGATATTATATCTTTTGATAGCCAGACACCATCAGCTTTCTTTACCACATTTGCTTATGCACCCATTTTGTCTTTGGAGATCGTGTCAGTGAAGGTGAGCATCACAGAATGCCAGGTTATCAGAACAAAGCGTTCTTGAGTTGAGGGAGTACTTGAGTAGAGGCCCAATGTCCGTATGCTACCTTAATACTTAACATATAAATATATGTACATAGATCTATTTTCCTATTATTATATATAAACAAATTTACATATGTACATGCCTATATTTAGACCTTTATAGTAGTGTATATTTTTAGTCATGCCTGCAAACATGTCTTCTCTGTTCTTCAGCCACATGACTCTGTGGTCTCTGCCCTGCACAGGAAAGTGTTACAAAATTCCTTTAATGTTGATTAAATGCCCAAAGGCACTCCACTTTGCAAACCAGCCTTCTGCCCCAAAGCACTTGTCACTTCCAAGTTTATCCTGTACCCAAGTTATAGCCTGTTACTCTATTATACCCATAACTGAGTGTGGTCTGTGATTTCTTAGGACCATTGCAACAAATTTTTTAATCTAGCAGAGAAACAGAGTGTTTTGTGTGTGTGTGGTTGTTTGGGGGTAGGAAGGATGAGTTAGGGGTGGCGAGGAAGGCAATGTCAGAAATGGTGAAAAAATTACACAGTGAAGGTATGTCTGACCTCCACTGCATAGGAGGTTTCTGCTCATCTTGAGTCTTATCCCTCATGAATATAGGAGATTTCAGACTCTAGATTATACACATACATAAATACAAATCAATCTCTACTCTTACTCCATTTAATACTACCCTGAAGTACATTCTTTCGATGTACTCTTTATATCATTACCTGTGGAAATGAAGTGGTTTTATCTGGGGAAATAGAATGGTTCTGTTGCTAAAGGGCCATTTAGTAGGTTGTTAACAGGCCTTTTGCTTGGAAGTCCTTAAACGCTGCTCTTTATTCCAGCATCCTTGTTTGCCTTCAGTTCTTCCTGAATTCTCCCTTCACTGAGGCACTTGCCCCTTTGGTGCCATCATGGTCTGTGCTACACCACTCCCATCCTGTTCTGTCCCTGAATGTCGTTGCTATGCTACCTCCTCAGCTAACTGCTAGAAAATTTACTATGTCCTTTTCACACTTCTACCAACATCCAACTAAATAACGTAGAGAAGGGAATGATGATCACTGAAGGTGTGAAATAAAGGATTAGTGATTGAGGTAGCTGTGATTTTGGCCACTCTATACAGTTTTCCTGTGTTAAGTGCCATTGAGTCAACTCTGATTCATAGCAACCTTATGTAACCAGAACAAAACACTGCCCAGTCTTGTATCATCCTCACAGTTGTTATCTTGGAGCCTGTTATTGCGGACACTGTCATTTCATCACCTTGAGAATCAACCCTGAGTTTCATTTTTGCTGACCCTCTATCAATGTGTGATGCCCTTTTCTAGGGACTGTTAGCGCCTGAGAACATGTCCACAGCACATGAGGTGATGTTTTGCTATCCTTGCTTTTAAGAAGCATTCTGGTTGTACTTCATCTAAACAGGTTTTTTGTCCTTCTGGCAGTATAGAATATATCTGGTATTTTTCACTAACACCATAATTCAAATGCTTCAGTTCTGTAGTCTTTTTTAATTCATTACCTAACTTTCACATGCACCTGAGGTGTTAAAAATACCAAGGCTTTGGTCAAATGCACCACAATCCTCAAAGTGATATTCTTGGTTTTCAACTCTTTAAAGAAATCTTGTGCAACAATATGCCCATTACAGTGTACCATGTGATTTCAAACCACACCGTATTTCCTTGTTCTTTTCAAATGACTGTCTCTTGGTCCATGTACAGATACCCACCAGCTCAATGAAGTGTTCTAGACGTCCCATTCTTCTTAGTGTTGGCCATAGCTTATTGTGAGCCACACAGTCAAATGCCTTTGCATAGTCAATAAAACACAAGCAAAATCTTTCTAGTATTCTCTGCTTTCAGCCAACATCCATCAGACATCAGCAGTGAGAATACCTCATTCCATGTCCTGTCCAGAATCCAGTTTGAATTTCTGGCAGCTCCCTGTCAATGGATTGCTGTAACTGTTGTTGAATGATGTTTGGCAAAATTATACTTGGCATGCAATATTAATGATACAGGTTGATCAATAATATCACATTTTCTTGGGTCGCCTTTCTTTGGAATGAGCACAACTAAAGATCTCTTGGTGTCAATTGGCCAAGTATAGCTGTCTTCCAAATTTCTTGGCATAGACAAGTGCTTCCCGTGATTGATCAGCTTGTTGAATCATTTCAACTGCCATTCCTTCAATTCCTGGAGCCTTGTTGTCCCTGTCTTTACTGTAGCTTGGATTTCTTCCTTCATTATCATTGGGTTTCAATCATACGCTACCTCTTCAAGTGGTTCTTGTTTATTACAGTGACTCGTTGTATTTTTATCTTAGTTTGATGCTTCCTGCATCATTCAATAATTTGTCCCAAGAATCCTTCAATATTTCCACTTGAGACTTGAATTTTTCTTAATTTCTTTCATCTTGAGGTATACTGAGTATGTTCCTTTTTTTGACTTTCCAACTACAGGTCTTTGCACATTTCATTTTAATATTTTACTTTTTCTCCTTAAGCTCCTCGTTGACATTTTCTGTCCAACTCTTTTACTTAATCATTTCTTCCATTTGCTTTAACTACTTTATATTCAACAGCAAGTTTTAGCGTCTCTGCTGATATCCACTTTGATCTCTTCTTGTCTTTTTAATGACCCTTTTGTATATCAAATTTGTATCAAGTTTGTTTGAGATGTTCTTGGTGGGATATACTAAAGGTCATGTTTTGGTCCCTATAGACTTGTTTTAGTTTTATTCAGCTTCATGCTCAGCTTGCATAGGAGTAATTGACTCTCTGTTCACGTGTCTACCATTGGCATTGTTTTAACTGATGATAACTGAGCGTATTTAGTGTCTCTTCCCATAGATTTTGCTGAGTTTGATTCTTGGTGTATATCATCTGATGAGGTTCATGTGTACAGTTGCCAATTATATTGTTGGGAAAAAGGTATTTGCAAGGAAGAAGTCATGGGTATGGTGAATTGAATCCTGTGAAATCCAGCTTCATTTCTATCACCACGATCATATTTTCCAACTACGGTTCCTTCCTCTTTGTTTCCATCTTTTGCATTTTTATCAACAGTAATTGTCAGCGCTTCTAGATTGCATATTTTTCCATTTCAGACCAACAAAGGTGATAGAATTCTTCTGTTTTTTTCACCATTAGCTTAAGTGGTTTGGTGCATAAATTTAAAACTAGTTATATCAATTGGTATTAGGTCTTAGAAATTTGTCATATTTTAAGTGCCCAATAAACACAAATGTCTAGTTGCTAATGTGGTAGGTAGAAAGCGGAGATGTAGAATAATGATGCAACAGTGAAGTAAATCATTACTA